CCCTTTTTTAATTGAAAAAATTAAAAAAGAGAATTAATTTGGGGAAGGGGTTTTTTCATAAGGGAAAAAGAAAATGGAAAAAAAATAACGGGGGTTTTGGGTGTTTATTGTGGGAAAGAACTTTGCACAAAATTTTTGCAAGTCAAACCCACAATTTAATTTCCCCAAAAGTCCCCCATTCATGTGCAAGGGGGCCTATAATTTTTACGGGAAGGAGCTAAAATCATAAATTCATACACCAGTATAATAAAGCGCCAAAAAGCTATAATATACTAAAAGAAAATTTTTTAAGTTCCTAATCCAATTGGTAGCATATTCAGGGAAATTCTGCTTATGTAATGTACTTTTATAATGTGTTTTTACTGGTGTTTTCTATCCTTTTGGGGGGGAAAATTTTCACCCGTTTTTCACCTTATGAACAAAAGCCTTTTGGGACCCAAAATTTTAGCACTCTTTTGGGGGAAAGGGGAAAAAATGATCGGCTCACAAAAGGACTCGAAATTTGCCCCCCCCCCCGACCCGCGCAAAAAAAACTGGGAAACGGGGGATCACGGGGCCCTTAAACGAAAAGGGGCCCGCTGAACTGGGGCTCCGCAAAGTATTTCCATTCCTAACTCCCTCCATTCAATTTTAAAACCCATTGCTTATAAAAAAGTCATGGGGGTTTCCCAAAAGGCAACACTACAGGGGACTTTTTTTACCCGGACTCGAGTATAGCGACAAAAAAAGCTCAAAAGCACTAGCTTCGAAAAACTAGCGCCTTACCAGAGAAAGAGGACCCCCCCCCCCCGGGGCCCCGAATCCCAAACCTCGCACTCGGGGTCAAGAAAAACTTTTCTGAGCTGAGACCCCAAGAAGAACTCCCCCTAAACAAATTTCCCATTAACGTCACCAGTGCGATAGGGGGAAGGTGACAACCCGGGAAATGCCTTGCCTGACAAAAAACAAGATAACCATAAAGCGGGGCGCCGGGACGGGCAAGGGGCAAATCCATCCAGGGAAAAAACTTATTGACAGACGCCAGGGAAAAAATAGCATTGCAAAAAAAAAAAATAGAGCGTGGAAGAGAAAACAAGGACCGGAAAAACGGGGGGCGAGGAAAAATTGTTTTCTAAAAATTGGCAAAAAAAGAAGAGGGAAACTCCACTGATCCGCTACCTCAAGCCCAACTTCCAGAGTGGTCCCCTGTCCCCGACAGGCCCAAAATCGAGAGAGTCACCGAGCACTGAGGCCCCCACACAGCCAACAACCCCCCGCCCCCCAACCCTACGTTTCCGAGATTCACCGAAAAGGGAACGATTCCTAAGCGGCAAAAAAACCAACCCTTACAGTGGAAACCCCAAAACTCCCCTTTATCCAGGCCCCTGTCAGCTGGAATACGCCGAAAGCGCCGAAGTTTGACGAGGTAGAAATGCCCCATTGCCCGAGGATCTTAGGGGATTAAAATACCCAAACGGCTCAGGATTTTACAAGGACCCTGCACACTTCAAAACCCCCGAAAGGAAAAACGTTTTTTGAAAGAAAAACCCCGGTCAGGGAAAAAATGGACCATGAAAATTCGAAATGTGATTACTGTTATTAAAAAGGGTAAGAAAAAATTAGCCAAATTCCAAAACCACCCCCCCTGCTAATTTCTTATAGCCGTCCATCTATATTTATTTTTCCTTTAGCGAGGGGGATGGCCCCCCATATTAAACTTGGGGCCTACTGTATGTAGGCTGGGCTTTTGATTTTTTTTTTTCCCCCCTTTTAATGTGGTTGGAACGGGGGCTACGTTTCATTTTACTCAATGGGGCGGGAGGATGAGGCTTTCTTTGTGGGAGGGGGAGCCCGTTGTGCTTTGCTCGGTTCCCGGTCTTTTTTTTTTTTTGGAAACAAAATTTGTTACGCGGGGAGTAAAAATCCAACGGATATTTGAGTTTGGGGAAATTTGGTGGGTGTTCGAGATTGTTTTTTATTAAACCATTTATTTTCCTTTTATTAAACCCCACTGTAACCATCCCCCTTTTACCCAGTACTTGCCTAAATTTCGTTTTACGTTCATGACTGACTAGTACCTTAATCTATTGACTGGAATTTGCCAGGGTTAGGCCATGCAATAAAGGAAAAAGATCATGTGCTCAAAAAAGGAAAAAAAAGCAGACATCGCCTATTGCAAAGACACACCTCTGTGACTGAACATGCCAAACCCCAAGCTGGTGGGACAGGTTGTTTTCTCACTTTAAATCCAACAGAGAAGGGTACACAATACTTACCTAAAATTTCCATTCAAAATTGCCCAAAACATTTTTATCCGGGGGAGTTTTACTTGATAAAACGGGTCCTGTATGGGCAAAAATTACTATCTTAAACATATCGCCCCTAAACAGATACTCCGCTTTTATGTCAAAAAAGATACTCGTTCAATGAGCATTGTTTTTTCCTTTGGAGTGTTGGCCGGAGTTTTTAATTGTCCCCAAACCCAACCCTAAAAAAATATCTAAAATCACCCCCCAAAAATCTAGATCGCAAAAGATTTAAAAACCTCTTACAAAAGAGATGGGACTGATGATATCGGAGAGAGACAAATTCAGTAGGGACAACACTATTTAAATGTCCAAACCCTACCCCGTATAGTTTTACATTTTTTCCAAAGGGTTCAAATTCAGCCAGTGTAAAATCGGCCCTAGCTTTCGGATCACGCCTTTGTCCACCTCCGCTTTGCCCTCTGAAAAAAACTCCCGAGATAAGACGGGAATTCAACACCCCCATCTTCAAGGGCATTCCTACTTTGGGAAAACCATGGATGACAACTCAACAAGACAAAAAAGATTTTTTTTCTTTTCTCCGGCCACAAGTGGGGCGTGCTAAGCCACAAAAGGGGTCACATTGCATATGCTTCCTCAAAAAAAAAAGCAATGGAAGCAACGCTAATCTGGAGAGGGAGCAAAATTTTTTGAAAAGTAAAAAAACAATCCCAGACAGCCCTCCGGGGGACCAAACAAAAGCAGCCAAAGCCAAAGAATTTTGGACATACTGGGGAAATTAAAAAAAAAAATTTTTTTTCTAACAAAAACCATAGTATAGCAATAGGCCTAGTAATTGCTTGCTTTTTAAATTAAAAAAGAGCATCAAGCGTAAAAATTAGGCTACCCGAACAGAAAGGGAGAGGTCACATATGATAAAAAAAAGATCAATTTAACTTTCATTTTTTTACGCAAACTATTCCCTAAAGAAAACCAAAAGGGGCAAAACCCCCCTTCCTAGGGGGGAATTCGCTACCTAAATAAGGACCGACCAAGAAGATTTTCAACCCCCCCCTTCACTCCTGAGGACCTGGAGGAAATTTTACCCCCTGCCCTAAAAAGTCCCCAGCCCGATGGTTTCCCCAGGGTTCTACAAATTTTTTGGCCCCAGCTTAGCCATTTTCAGCCAATGCGGGGGATTTTTGAAAAAACGGAGTTCTCCCGACTCAAAGCCCGGGCCCGCATTACAGTGTTCCAAAAAAAGAAAAGGTCCCCTACCTCTCCCCTTTCCGGCCCAAGCTTGTTGGGTTTTGACTACAAAAAAAATCACCAAAATTTCTGCCAAAGACTAAAAACCCCTTCTTCCCCAAAATAATAAAGCGGACCAACGGGTTATTAGAGACAGATACTCTTCGATAAAATTCCCCCCTCTTTTTTTATTTATTTATTAAGTAAAACCCCAAAACCCCTTTCCCCTGGCTTCACTGGAGCTGAGAAGGGTTGACAGGGGGTGGACTTTTTGTTCTCATTTAGAAAGTTTAACATGGCCCAACTTTTTAAAGGATCAAATCACTAACCTCTCATCCAAAAGCCATGGGAAATATAACGGACTGAACTCCCGACAGATTCCCTTTGGGACGGGGCACAAGACAGGGTGCTCGCTGTCCCCCCATGCTCTACTTGTTGGGGCGGAGCCTCTGGCAGAGTTGATAAGGAGCAATCCAAGTATTATAGGTGTTCCTGCAGGCGGCCTGCAGCACAAGATTTCGCTTTACGCGGATGATGTCTTGCTCTACATATCCAACCCTGAGAAATCCCTTCCTCCCATCTTAGATACAATTGCTCAGTATGGCACGTTTTCAGGTTATAAGATTAATTTTAACAAATCCACTGTCTGCCCTCTCAATATTATACTCACCAGTTCTATGAAGACACTATGCCCATTCCAATGGAAGACACAGTGGTTTCAATACCTTGGGATATTCATAACACCAGATCTGAATAGGCTTTTCAAAGAGAATTATCTTTCCACTCCTGGATCAATCAAGAACAACCTCCAAACCTGGATCTCCCTCCAATTAGCTTAGTAGGAAGAATAATGTAATCCGTATGAACATCCTCCCTAGACTGAACTATTATTTCAGATGCTCCCATGCTATCTCCCAGCTTCCTTTTTCAAAACAATTAACCAAGCATCACCAAATTTATATGGGGCAATAAAAAACCTAGGATCAAGCTTTCCACTCTATCGAAACCTGAATCTAAGGGTGGTCTTGCCCTTCCCTCCCTTCAATTGTACTACTGGTCTGCCCAAATCCGCAACATGCTAACATGGATCACAAAACAGACAAGAGTCAACGTGGAGCCAGATAGAAGCCCAATCTTGTGGTTCATTGCCACTAAGCTCAACTATATTCAATTGATAACTTAGTGAAGTGGGCAACATAGCCAAAACATTTGTGATTTACAGTACCCTACGAGCGTGGAGGGACTGTAAGAAATACTTGGGCATCTCCTCCCAAATATGTTCTCACTCGCCTATAGTAGGCAACCCAGACTTGCCAAAAGCCCTGAGAGATGCCAACTTTAATCTTTGGCATACTCTAGGAATCAGGACCTTTTCAGACCTATTTCATCAGAAGACCACTACACTGAAATCCT